CCTTGTTTTTCATCACCTTAATGTCGAGGGTAAGGCACGGCAACAACAAGTAGCGTCTTTTGGTATGACGCAGCCGGGAATCGAACCACCGACCTTCCGTTCTCTATTGTGGCGATCTCACACTAGACAACCCCGTGGTTGTCTGTATAAGCATCGACAGTCGCATCGGAGTAAACTGACACCTAGTCATTAAGTCAGATCACATTTTATGAATACCTGCTTGACATTTTATAATTAGTAAAACAGCGGGGGGCTAATTCTGAACAGGAATCATTAGTATTTCAAGGCTCAAATCCCGTTCTTCATACCCGTGAAGGTCCAGGTTAGAATAGATCTTCAGCAACCATGCTTGCGGTAAGAGGCGACTAACAGCATCGAGTGATGAGGCTCGATGAATTGGTCGATGCATGTAGATTGTGTAGATCGATGTCAGTCACTGGATTGTCAGTTTTAGATTCGATTATTTACAGACCGCCGTCATATAGCTAAATGTTGCTGAGTGCGGCGTTAAACAACAAACAAACAAAGCCCGCTCTTTATATGACATTTCATATGGTGCGGCATTCCTGAAGTAAATATCATGTCAATTCTTTCTTATTCGCATAAAACAATAAGTCGTATGTACGTTCAGGGATATATTCGGCCCCAAAACAGCAGCAAATAACAGTAAAAATTCCTAAACTGGAGGTAAATAATTACAAAAATATGTTAATATAATTATAACTAATATCATTGCTTTGCGGGGGTGACTTGCAAATCTCGGATAACAGGATCAATAAAAAGGCTTTATTCTTTAGTTTAACATAAATGCACTGAATGCGATGTTTAAGTACATTTGAATTCGAGAAAATAAAAATAAAAGTCCCAATTTTGAACACAGTAATGTTTTTCCCCAATTTACCTTCCATAGACATTTAGCTTATAATCCAAAATAATTCCCTGACGTTACTGGGGTAAATGTTCTACGATGCGGCGAAAGACAATATAATGTTCAGTTTGATGAACTTTGAAAAGGCCATTTGTTCTCAGTGACATTTTATTTAAATTATTCATATCATATTCGTCATGTAAATGTCCACAATTAATTACACAAATGTTGAATGTTTTATCAATTTATGCTATCATTTACGAATAAAGGTCAGCGTTTGCATAACATCATACAAGGATAACAGTGTACTGTCTCTGTTCTCATCAGACCAGGGCAATATTGTTCCCAGCAAGCTATCAACCTCGCGGTGTAGTTGAATGAATATTAAGCAGTGTACTGTTTCTATTCTTCTATACAGCTCCTAATGCGTCAATCAAACGTATGAAAATGCTGTCATGCTGTTTTGCACAGTCAAAAGATGTATATTCACTATATTCCGATGCATTTCGCACATGCTGTCAACTCATTAAGTCTTAGATATGACAGTAAAACACCACGACGCCACACGGATAACTGTTTTGTTTTAGCACCAATGGTAGTCTGAGGGATGCGGTTTCTTTGATCCCGCGTCCAGTAAGCTTACATCATGGTACGGCAGGGCTGGTGCTTGTTCTGCCTGAAGGGAACACACATTAGCAGAGTGTGATTGTCGCCGAGAGAGTAATTGATGAGGGTGTAGGCGGGGGACATGTTCCATGCTTCTTCTAGACAAGGCTGCGGATCGAAAGGTTCACTGATCTAAACTGCCGGGCAAAAGAAAGTATACATCCATGTGTGATGGTAGCTAAAATGGAACAACCAAGAAACGGTTATTCGGTGGTGATGTCTTTAATGCGGGTTTTGGACTTTCGTGTGCAGCGTTTCGGCGACTGTTTTCAGCCTAGTAACGTTTGGATAACGTTTGTAATTCTTTTGTCAATTCATATTTTCAAGTGTGCCCGCCTTTTTAGAAATAAATCATGCTTTGATGTTTTTCTTGTGCATTTACCCACAATTTTAGTTCGGTTACGCCTCTAGTAATGTAAGGCATTTCTTGTTTTTGCACTCAAAAAGGTTAACCGACTCCAAAAATCGGTCTGTAATTATGTTAAGTTTTGGGATAAATAATTCATTTACGGTTTCGCATTTATCAAGTTCCATGCCGAAGTTGCAATTTTTATGCCACCCGTTCTGACTACCGGCAACGCCATTTTTGATTTTCTAAACACATCTTATATCATCGTTTTCCCTTAACACACTAAGAAATTAAAATTAATTAAAATTAAAAACAAATCGGCGTTCATATGTACCTTTGTCTTTTAAGAAGCCATGATGCTAAATGCAATATGCTGGTTTTCCTATTGTGAATATTTTTTTATAATCAAAAGACTTGCATCGTGTTATTAGCCTACAGTTATGCACAATGCGATCTCACAAAGATACGATTGATATTTTCAGAACAAACTTCACGTCGATCACTGTGTAGACAAGTAACAAATATCTCAATGATTCCAAATAATGCATTCCAGGTTACATGAACATTCTTACACACCTCGGAATAAGATAAGGACTTGCAAAGTTGTGAAGTTCGCATCAATGCGATCAGTGAATGTGAGCGGTTAAACGCCGCTTTGAACAGTATTTCATTTATATAAAGGCTCTGCAATCCATGTAACCAGTCAATGAGAACTTGTGGAAGGTTATTATCTGGGAACTCCCAAGAAACATCCTTCGGGGCGTTCTACATTTTTAATTTGTTATGCGATGATAAAAACTGGTAATACAAGCCACAGAGCATGAAATAGCCCATGTACACCTGGACTGTCTAACGGCACATTACTCATCTTTACAAGGTAGGGGAGATATTAATCTTGGTTAGGGCGAATGTTAAAGAAGGCGGTTCCCAAACTATGCATGTGTGAACAGATGACATAAGGTCGCCCGAATTTCACACAAATTTTCAGAATAGCTGTGACAAACAGAAACATTAAAAAAAATCACATGGGTCATTTTGAGACAATCTACGGATTAAGTGTCTGTGTACCAGGCCGGTACAGACATCATAATGATAACCATATATCATTTGGATACTAACTTTGGACATGCGAGCAAAGTTTATGAGATGGAATTAGAAACCAAGGTCCTAAATACAGCGAGGTTAACTGAATATCAGCAGTCAAAACAGAGCTCCTCATAAAAAAAAGAAATATGGGAAATATAGCTGCTGTTTTTCGAATACAATGTGTACATGTATACAATGTTTGTGATTAAATTATTGTCGACTGAGAAAAGAAGGTCGTAGCGACAAAGAAAAGCTTAATTTTAGTTTTGTCGTAAGGGTTAAGGCAGAATTATTTTTGTTACTTTCACAAAATACATTCAAGATCATGACAAAATTGTTATCGGTACTTTTATGTTTAGTTTCAATATCCTATATTATCACAGTGTCACATCAAAAAATGAAGTCAGATGCAATTCCCTATATTGACTTGTATCATGTTTTTTTTCAGGTGAACAATTGACTTGCCTTTGCATGTGTTTGTGACGGGTGCCACCGGTAGGGCAGGATACGCTCACCTTTTCGCGAACACCTGCTATCATTACTATTTGATAGTGATTCATAAACTCATGCTCAAGACATAGTCGGAAAAGTAAATCGACTTATGCAGAGATTTATATTCGATATGGAAAGGGTTTTGTCGCTTTATTTACATCATAGACAACCTTGTAAGGATACTGTTATATGTCTTACATCAATTCTACAACGCATCTCATGTATATATCTCCCTGGATTATTCCAGACCAACTTTCGAAGATAATATGAAATGAAACACCAAATGATCATGAGTCAGGGTTCATTTGGAGTTTGTATAATAAAAAAAGGAAAATTTTAAAATGTCAATCGATTAGCCTGATGATTTATGTTCCTGAAACTCGTAAAGTTAACACAAACAAGGTGATCCATGGCGGAATCTGTCAGACACGTATTAAACCTCATACCTATCTCATGTGTCCCTAAACGTCAGTGTTTCTTAGTTGTTTATTACCGCACTCAGGAATGTTCCAGCAATATGACGGCGGTCTGTAAATAATCTTGCCTGAATCAGACAATCCAGTGACTAACACCATGTTTGTTCGTGTGTTTGTTGTTAAACGCCGCACTCAGCAATATTCCAGCAATATGACGGCGGTTTATAAATAATCTAGCCTGGATCAGACAACTCAGTGACAGACACTACGTTAAACAACAAACAAACCAAACAAATCTTTTGACCAGCATGCCTTGTTGAACAACAATTCTAACACGAATCTTGATCGAGTATTCCTCAATGAATTGGTTCATCAAGACATGAAATGTTTTCCCCTGGACACATGTACACGCTGTAGTATGATTTTTTTCTCCAGCCAAATAGAATGCATATAAGTGCATGCATAGCACTAGATTCCGGGGTAGAATAGGTCTTCAGCAACCTATGCTGGCCGTAAAAGGTGACTATGCTTGTCGTAAAAGGCGACTCACGGGATCGGGTGGTCAGGCTCGCTGACTTGGTTGATGCATGTCATCGATCTCAATGGCGTGGATCGATGCTCATGACGGGATCACTGGATTGTCTGGTCCAGACTCGATTATTTTCAGACCGCCGTCATGTAGCTGCAATATTGCTGAGTGCGGCGTTAAACAACAAACCAACCAACCAACTAAAAAACTGAAAATGACAGACGATTTGATGTGATAGCATACTATAGTCGTTAGGACAGGGCAGGTAGACACCTGGTGTCACTACTGATTGTCAGTGATACATTCAAATACTTTTCACCACTTTGTTTCCTTTTTCGCCCAATGGAATCTGTTTCGGCAGATGATCGACACTGATTTTTCTCTAGGTCTTTCTTTGACGTTTTATATTTACTCGTTTCCCAGAACTGACATTAACACTACATATCTTATCAAACAGATGTTGTTTTACTGTAGGGTTATTCTAGTTTAAACAGGAAAAAGGAGATCGCCCGAAGCGGTTTCTTAATACCGGTGTGTCATCACTCAGCAGCAGATACTTCTATCTCGTTGACATCGGAACTTGTTACTTTGCAGATCAAAGCCAAGGCAACCTCGAACCAGACATGAATAAAACGGCAGGTATAAACGGCACGGAGCCAGAAATGATTGAAGAAGTAAACCCGTCTTGGAGCGGATTAACACAAGCTGAAGTGGTAGTGGTGGGGGCAGTTGGCGCAGTGATTCTCCTCGCAACGTTGGCCGTTGTTCTACGTATCATCATGCCTCGGGTACGGCGGAGATCCACCAAGGAAACAGTTATACCGCGGAAGCCGATTGTTGAAGAGAAAACAGGGTAAATATCCTTTCTTCTTACTCCGCCCTTGAGAGAGGGATTGAATGTGATTTTCCGCCGCTATTAGCAATATTCAGGCAATATTTTACGTAATTCGAACTTCTAAAAATGTCTATCAAAGACCTCACTTCAAGTATCTCATCGGGGGGGGGGGGGGGGGGGGGGGGGGGGGATGTCATACCCTTCCAATTTTGAGGGAAAGCCTGTGGCGAGGTGCTACTGGTAGAGCGGACACCTTGTGTCATCGCTGATTTTCAGTGATCAATTCATATAATTTTCACCACTATTTTGCCTTTTACGCCGAATGGAATATGTTACGGTAAATAATCGAGACTGATTATTCTCTTGTGTAGACGTTTTATATTTGTAATCCAGGCTGTTTTTTAAGTTTTTAAGATGTTCTGTATTTGAACTTGTTACGATCTTACCTAACTGGTTACGTGATTTTTCACCGAATTACGACAGGGCGTAAGTTTTGGTTCGTAATTATTTGTATGTTCGGAGGAGCCAGAGCATTAAGTTTTAAAATTTGTTAACAAAATAATAAATTTAAACGCTGAGCAGAATTTCAGTTACGGTAAAATATAGATTTTACAAAGAAAGGGAAAGGCTTACATGGAAATTGAGTTTCCCCGGGTTATGTGGTATGATCGACGTGTTGGCACGTGGTGCTAATGGCCATTTATCACCTGTATAATGTGTCACTCGGTATTGTCTGCATTCTTGAACAGAACCCGAAGTAAGATCATCTGCCTGTCTTTTCTTGACAATTTCCGCAATTACATCAAATGCCATCCTGTCGTCACATAGGTTTTGGAAAGTTACTTTGCTTGGTTGTTAAAGATACAACGTGTCAGCTGGAACTAATCTACGTATTCTGCCGTTCTCTGTGTTGCTTAACTTCAGTATTTCTTAGCGTTTAATTGTCTAATAAAGACATATGTCTCATTCTGCTTTCGACGTTAATGCTGTACTATATATAGATATATATATATATATATATATATATATATATATATATATGTTAATTGCAGTACGTCTTGCCCCAATATGGGCATAAGCGAGGTTTGAGTGGTTACCCTGTGTCCTTTTTTTATTTTTTATTTTTCTTAACGTCGCAGTGAACAATATACCAGCTATTTGACGATGATCTGTTAATAATCGACTCTAGGCCAGATAATCCAGTGATTGCTGTCATGATCATTGATCCCTGGAATTGGGATACGATGACATATGCACACGTTACAGGCAATTATTTCCAAGTTCATAGCTTAAACCTATTCCCAATGCAATCAAACAGAGATAATATATATTTTAAAAATGTATTACTATACTAATTTTATTTTTCAGAAATCTTTTGGCTCCGGGAACACCATCTTCTCAGTCATCGCGCTCAACATCATCCCGTTCCAGTAACCATGGCGACTGGTCCGATGCCTCCTCCTACAAAACAAAGAGTACATACTATTCACAAAACAGCCTGTTTCCAGGGAAACCAAACTCATTTAGTAACCTTCGTCAACAGGCGGGTCTCAATTCTGCCAACGCATCACCGTGAGTTGATTATCTGTGACCGCATGGTACAACATGTTCAGTGCGTAGTAACGATTCTCGGTGGATAATTTCACCTCAACCTATACTTTGCGTTACCGTAATTATGGAATCTGCAGGTCTGCATTCTGTCATGACACCGTGTGTTAGATTATTGTCGGCTTGGAGTGTTTCCGCGAACACCTGGTGTCATCACGGATTTTCAGTTATCCATTCATACAAGTTTCACCGCGACTTTGCCTTTTATGCCCAATGAATTCTGTGTAGGCGGATGATCGAAACTGGTTATTCTCTGGCTTTGAGATTACATTTTATACTACTCAAAACAAGTTAAGGACCACTCGATGTTTTCATATTACAAAAGTTAATCTGTCATGCCATGACAGGGGGATCGTAAACTTTTTAGCAGTATTTAAGCATGAAAGATACTGATGACATTTTATGTTTGATCTTTTTTCATCGCTATCGAGGTCCACAAATCAGCAAATTTATTGAAGAAATATATACAATGTTACTGAAGATAGTTGACATTCGCCTTCATTTTGTATGTGAAAGAAATTAGACAAAGAGTGAAATGTAGGGGTTTGTGTCACTCACTTGTCACATATGTCCCAGGCATCTTCGGGATACGTAATATGTGTTTTGTATTTCCATTTCGTTATTCCATCAGTATAAACTTGCATGGCCTGCCCTCACATTAATCGCCAAAGGCCAAAGAACTTTCTCTGAAAGATTACGCGTTGTAGCGATTGACAATAACATAACTTTCGGCTAAGCAGCCTCAAAGTAGAAAATTATGACTGCTGTTCTCACGTTCTGCAAATATCAACATGCTTGTTTCAGGGCCTCCTACAGAAGCAAGACAACCGAGAGACTGAACGATGACTTGATCTCCATGATATCCCAACAGTCGAATGTGTGAGTGCAGCTGTCAGTCGTCCATCAATACAGACTCAAGAGAATAGGATATTGATCCTAATTTACCATCGCCCCGAAAAGCTGCAAGATTGCTGTTGCAGCGTTAAGCAATAATCACGTACACCTACTTTACCGGGTAGCCTTGTGGTTAAAGGGTTCGCTCGTCACGCCGGAGACCCCTTGTTCGTTTCACTCATTGGTACAATGTGTGGAGCCCATTTTGGGTGTCCACCTCCGTGATATTGCTGGAAAATAGCTAAAAGGGGCGTAAAACAATTCTCACTCCTACTTTACCATTTCCCCAGAGCAGATTCCGGTTCAATACCCGGTTAAAATGAGTGAGTATGGTTTTACGCCGCTTTTTGCAATATCCAGCAATATCACGGCGGGGGACACAATAAATCGGCTACACACATTGTACCCATGTCGGGATTCGAACCCGGGTCTTTGGCGTGACGAGCTGCCCCACCGCCCCCGGTTAAAATGGGGATCAAGTGGTCGGACCTGAGCTGATTACGTCTCGTCATACCCCTGATCTTGAATGTGTTTGGAATATTTATGGCTGTATGGTTAAATGACATTCACTATGACACATTAACATAGACTGCAAGGGAGCTTTATCACGTAATGGTGCTGAGCGTTGTGATGATATGAGAAACAATTGCTGTTTTCAGCCTGGAGCCGCTCAACCTGGGAGAGCAGTACAGAAGTAACTGGGAACAGACGTTTGAAGAGCAACACGCGGAGAAAGGACACACGAAGTACGTAATACTAGGTTTGAAAATATCTTCAGACAAGTGACCATGCAAACGAAGGCGCAGACTAGCTCCCGTGTGCCACGATCCCTGGTCTTTCAACTATCTACGGGTTCCCCAACTTCACCATTATGATAAAATAGTTAGCTTAACCGTTTCTTGTTCTTATCCGACACCTTAAGAACAAGGTAATGAATATATAGCCCCGTGGGGATTACGGGCCAGAAAGGCCCCAGTAACGTATCCTGGTCGTGGGAGGAGACTGTGGATTGAATAATCAGGTTGGGTGACTGTTCGTATTCAAACATGCCCGCGTGGCTCGTTGCGTGTAGCCCCCGTGACGATTCCAGGTTAGAATATGGCCCCAGCAACATGTTGTTCGTAAGAGGCGACCAAATGAATTTGGTGGTGAGACTCGGTGAAAGCGTGTCCTCGTACCTCGGCGGCGTGGATCGGTGTTCACAATATCGCTCATTGGATTGTGTGGTCCAGACTCGATTATGTGCAGACCGCCGTCGCTTAATTGGAATATTGCTGAGTGCGGCGTTGAGCAAAATCACAAAAAAGTCGATCCTTGTAATATCAATCACTGGATTGTCTGGTCCAGACTCGATTGTTTCCAAGCTGCCTTCATGTAACTGGAATATTTCCGAGTGCGGCGTTAAACAACAAACCAACATGACAACCGATATTTATACATCATGTAAGCCACAAGCTGGATTATCGTTGTCAGCGCAAAATCAAATTATTACTCAATCACTTATCATATATTTGTAGAAGGTACATTCTTTGTCATTTAACCCAGTTGACGGGTTATTATTATAATGTCATGTTATTTTCAGTATCAGCTACGTGTCCCATCCGTCAGACAACATCGTGATGCCCGACAGATACGACACCTACCCCTTCAGGCACACGCAGTAAGTACATCATGCCTTAGTTCACACTCGGACACTCCTCTTAGGCTTCCAGGGCAGAGTAGATCCACAGTACACCAAGCCTGTCCGATGACGGATGAGGGTAGCGTGGATGCGTGTTTGTTATCTTTTCCCGGTTTTTTTCGTACCCGACGGTGTGCCTGACCCAGATGCGATTCATTATTGGCCGTCCTAAAATATCTGGAACATCGCGGTCTGCAGCGTTACGTGAAGACAGTCATTGAAATGTCTCGCCATGAAAACGATATAGCGGCCACCATGTTGTAGCTGGAATCATTTTAACTATGGTGTTAACAATATTCATTATCAGTCAGTTACGTATGTAGTCAGTGCGTGTAAACGGTGATCACGACTTGTGGAATTAAATATTTACTTATGTCACCGTCCAATGTACTTTGGTTGACATCGGTTTGACCCAGTGGCACACGTCGCCGTATTTCTTAGATGTGACAGACACCTACGACAGTGGGTTCAAATCCTGAATTTGACGTGGTTATGATTGTTGGCTTTTTCAGGGACCCAGCATTATATTTACAAACTGGGATCTGAGATTTATGTTGGAGATTGAAAGGTTTCACGGTTACTGCTCCCAAACCCGCATTTTTCTGTCAAAGGAGACGTTTTTTAGGACAGACTACATAACCTGCAAACTATTTATTTTTCTCTGTAATAACCGTGGACAAAATGATTTGTTTCTATTTTTTTAAGAGATTATATCCTTTAAACAAATCCCACCTCATCTACATCTACAAGCTGACACGCCGCGATCAAAACGGCCAAACTAATTCACACCGCTTCCTGATCCTTATCATAATTGACTATTTTTGCTTAAAAAGAAAGTGCGTTTTTCAATCATGTCGTGGTCACTATGGTAAATATGTTACAATTTTGATTGTAGTAAATAATATTCACTCAAATAACGTATTTACTTATTCTCTTCCACCGTTGCAATAACCGTGTGCTGTACATAATCACATCACAGCTATAAGGAAGCGTCATTATGAATATTTTTTTAATAATCTGCTTCACTTTCTGTTTTTAATTTTGCTTTCTTTTCTTCCAGGATCAGCCCAAGATCCCAGGAAACGCGCCCAGTACCAATCATCGTCTACCCCCAGCAAACGCGACTGTAGACTGCATCCATGTCTGTGTGATGTATTTATCAAGTCTCAGTTATGTGATAAGGCGAGATAGTGTGATTGACAGTGATTGACACATGCGTGACGTGGATGGATGATTGATATACCCAGTGATTGATCCGGGTTACTAGACAACTGGTTACACCCTTACCCATGGACACTCGTTATCTCGTCATTTTGGTTTTGTCGAAATGAACTCAACATCCAAGCTACCTTTAAAATCTCGAAGCTTCACCTGTTTAAAGGTGTGCCCTCGAGTGTCCTTATTTCGAGTCTTGTGTATCGGTGCGTGATCGGTTTCCTTAGGTACAGGTATGACACTGTAACATAAAACTGAGTCACGTGACCCGGTGAACGTTTATCAAATGTGTTGTTGGATGTTATTTGTTATTTATACCATCGTTTGTAAATATGTGTATCAAATATGCATATTCATGTGTTGTTCATATCTAAACCAGATCTTACATACCGTCAATATTATTTATCATAATATGAATAATAATGGCAAATGACACAGCAAACATCATGAACGAGAACCAACACTTTCCATGCCTTTCATTCATTCTATCGTGTGTAAATTTGTATCATTTTAAACATTCCTGAAAATCTCAAAGTGTGTTGCATTAGTATGATACTGCATCTACCTGCCCCTTCGTCCTCCAGTGAGGAACACAACCCTGAGAAGATGGAGTCAGGGGGTAGGTCCAGTGGTCAAGCAATGCCATGTTGGGAGTTATGTCCCTTGATATTCCACGGTTCGCAGGTCGGGTGTCGCATCCCACATTCGCCCCGACCATGGCTGTTGGTCTGTCAGAACTTGTCCCGTGCTCTGGGGTTTCGACGATCGTCAACGACGTGTGTAGTCGGGGTTGCTCTCACATTACGATCAACCGTTGTGATAAAACTAAAATATTGTGCATTGTTCTCAGTCATTCGCTTGCTCAGTTCAGAACAATGAAACCGAACACATTACAAGTTTCCTCAGAGGTAATAAATTCTGCGGGAAATTTTCTTTTCCAAATGCAATATTACACATTTAGTGGCAATGTTGAATGCAGATTAATACTGGATGATATATGTTGAAGAATCACTACAGTTAAATTGTCCCATTGTTAATACATATTGTGACATTTCTGTTTGTTCTGTTCTCCCTTAGGAAAAAAAGCTTTGCGTACCTGCTTTCAAACATGATAATATCTGAACAGAACTAAATTGAAGTGCATTCGGATCCCGCAATTTGAAGCTAACATTTGTTTATATGTAAAATATTATTTTTGTATTTTTTGTATTGCTGTGAATAAAAATAGCAAATATTTTGTTGCGTTCCTGATTAACGGACTAGTTTCAACGTCATTACTATTATTACTATTGATACAAGGCCACGCTTAAAACGTGACTTGACATAGAATCTGACATAAGGGCATGTGTACTCATCTTAGATCACACGGAGCATAACATAGCGGCATGTGTACTGGTATAAGGTCACACAGTATGACATAACGACATGTGTACTGATATAAGGTCACACAGAGTATGATATAACGACATGTGTACTGATATAAGGTCACACAGAGTATGATATAACGACATGTGTACTGATATAAGGTCACACAGAGTATGATATAACGACATGTGTACTGATATAAGGTCACACAGAGTATGATATAACGACATGTGTACTGATATAAGGTCACACAGAGTATGATATAACAACATGTGTACTGATATAAGGTCACACAGAGTATGATATAACGACATGTGTACTGATATAATAAGGTCACACAGTATGACATAACGACATGTGTACTGATATAAGGTCACACAGTATGATATAACGACATGTGTACTGATATAAGGTCACACAGTATGACATAACGACATGTGTACTGATATAAGGTCACACAGAGTATGATATAACGACATGTGTACTGATATAAGGTTACATAGTATGACATAACGACATGTGTACTGATATAAGGTCACACAGTATGATATAACGACATGTGTACTGATATAAGGTCACACACAGTATGATTTAACGACATGTGTACTGATATAAGGTCACACAGAGTATGATATAACGACATGTGTACTGATATAAGGTCACACCGAGCATGACATAACGACATGTGTACTGATATTTAATAACACAGAACCTGACATAACGACATGTGTACTGATATTACATGTAGGTCACACCGAGCATGATATAACGAAATGTGTACTGATATTACATGAAGGTCACACCGAGCATGACATAACGACATGTGTACTGATATTACATGTAGGTCACACCGAGCATGACATAACGACATGTGTACTGATATTAAATCACACAGAACCTGACATAACGACATGTGTACTGATATTAAATCACACAGAACCTGACATAACGACATGTGTACTGATATTACATGTAGGTCACACCGAGCATGACATAACGGCATGTGTACTGATATTACATGTAGGTCACACCGAGCATGACATAACGGCATGTGTACTGATATTACATGTAGGTCACACCGAGCATGACATAACGACATGTGTACTGATATTAGATCACACGGAGCATAACATAACGACATGTGAACTGATATAAGGTCACACAGTATGACATAACGACATGTGTACTGATATTAGATCACACCGAACATGACATTTCGGCATGTGTGCCCATGCAGAGAATCGAACTCGGGCTTTTTGAGTATCAAACGAACGCTTTAACCACTTGGCTACCCCGCCGCCTCCGATCATGTATCCCCGTGTTATGGGTTTTCGGACGCTTAAAAAACAATCGTAGTTTTCTCGGTAGTCACGAGAACAACCGTAAAACATCTCACTCACTTGTAAAGATAAAGTTATCTACAAAAGCAGGCCATCACTTGAATATTTACATTGACTGTGTGAGGCCACAACCATGGTTATAGCGGGAGAACTTGTGATAAACATGGCCGTCCAAAAACGTATGATGAGCCGGTGACCTATGTACAGAATAAAACTTGTCACACCGAGAGCATGACATGACGTCATCAATACCAGGTCATTATGGGTAATGCTGTCACACCGAAAAAAGGTGACACAAAGCGTAACTATTTGTGTGTGTTGTTTAACGCTGCATTCAGCAATAGTCCAGATTTATGAATGCTATCCGTAAATAATCGAGTCTGAACCAGACAATCCTGTGATTGATATCATGAGCATATATTCAAGCAACTGAGATAAGATGACATGCAATCAACCAAGTAAGCGAACCTGACCACCCGAGCCTCTTACGACAAATATAGGTAACTGTGCACGTATATGTTTCTCCGGAGTTTGGTTTAACGCCGCTTTCAACAGCATTCCACTTATATGACGGCGTATCAGCTTGTTGGAGGAAAACCCAAGTGATGCATGCATTAGACGTTTACAAATTTCGTGAAACCCTTGAGTAGGGGTATAGTGCTGACAAACCTAGAATCATAATCCGAGCGAACTGGGATTCGAACGCATGATCATATGTTTCTGCCGTGCCCAAAGGAGGCAACTCTGCACATCGAATTGCGGCGCCTTAGACGACTGAAGCACCCTTGCGTCCGTCGCTGTGTATCGTGCAGCCCAGCTGATACAGGGAGAGTTACAGATACCGCCAGCTTTCACTGTTTCAGAGTAGCACGGGATCCACATATATTCACATATTATCCCGAGGGTCCGATCGTAATGCCCCTGTTTGCGATGTTCCCTGATGAAACGAATATTTTAAATCCACTTTTAGCACGGAAGCTTTATTACTATTATATACATATCCTTAAGACACACAGGCCCATTAACCTAGTCTCTCCGGGGCGTGTTGTGTTGTGCGGAGACAGTATAATATTATATTTATCCCAATTGGCCTAAACCCCAGTATGCCTGCTGGGAAGCAACACTTCTCTTTCAACAGATATATGGGTCAGATAAATATTTTGGGTTAACGGAGGGTGATTGAGTGAGTTGGGTTTAACGCCGCTTTTAAGAGTATTACAATTATATCGCGGCGTGTCAGCTTAATGTGGGAGGAAAGCCCGAAGTGATGCAGGTCTTAGACGTTTACCACTTCCGTGAAACCCACGAGCACGGCTTTGGTGCTGACAAACCTAGAATCATAATCGGGGCGAATCGGGATTCGAACGCACGGTCATATGTTTCTGGCGTTCCCAAGGGACGCAACTCTGCACAGCGAATCGCGGCGCCTTAGACGACTGGGCCACCCGTTCCCCGGTTAACGGAAGAGTGAGTGAGTTTGGTTTTAAGCCGCTTTTAGCAATATTCCAGCAATATCACGGCGGGGGACACCAGAAATGGGCTTCACACATTGTACCCATGTCGGGATTCGAACCCGGTTCTTCGGCGTGACGAGCGAACGCTTTAACCACTAGGCTACCCGACCGCCCGTTAACGGAAGAAAGGATATAGGCGTTGAGATCATATTCATGGAATGATTGATTGAAAATTGATTAATTTGTCAGTCGTTGTCAGATGAGATGTCCCAATTAAGTATTGTCTGACACACATGAAGATTAATTGTCCTTCATAAACCATTTTCTTACGCGGGAAGTTTCGAAAAGGAAACATAATTATGCTATGGTATTAATTATGATCTTTTTAAATTAATTCTTGCTCGTGAGATTCCTTCGAGGTCGTTAGAAGGAAGGCCATGAGCGCAACTCAACGTGAGATTGATTTAAGAAGGAGAAAGTCCACAAAGTCAACATGTTCACGGATGTGATGACTGTACAGTTGGTTGCACTGGGGGCGGTGAAGTAGCCTCGTGGCTGAAGCGTTCGCTCGTCACGCCGAAGGCCCGTGTTCGATTCCTCAAATGGGTACAATGTGTGAAGGCTGTTTCTGGAGTCCCCCGCCGTGATACTGCTGAAAGCGGCGTAATTCTCATTCACTCGCTGCGGCGTTGGAACTTTCACATTTTCCTGACATATCCTGCCAATGGAAGAGACGAGTATGCGAATTACGTCCTGGGAAATGGTAGCCACATCGGCCCTGCAACGCAAAAGCCAACTGCTGCAACGTATTGAGATGTGGTTGACGTCGTCATTCCATTTCTTCCTACAGGTCCTCTATCGGGTTCAAATCCGTGGTTCTGGAGGGCCAGAAGAGCACATCAACGTGTGTGTTACAGGCTCTTGTGATCCGTGCGGTCGAGCGTTGTCCTGCTGGAATAAACCGTTGCCGTTGGTTGCAATTGGGAGGACGTGTGGTAGGAGAATTTCGTTGTTGTGTCGTTGAGCGATCAGATTGCCCTGGATATGAACCAAACCTGTCCTGCCATGATGAGAGATAGCCGCCCATATCATAACGCTACCCTCACCAAACCCGTCCGCTTCCTGTACGCAGTTTCCGGCGTAACGTTCTCCTCGACGTCCGTAGATCCGTGCTCTTCCATCGCCTCGACGGAGGAGAAATCTTGATTCGTCGCTGAACCAATCTCTCCATCGCAGTTGAGGCTATACCCTGTGTTGACACCAATGCAGTCGTTGTTTACGATGTTGTCGACTCCATATGACGCGTCAAACAGGACGTCTTGCTCGTAAACCTGCTCCTCTTTTCATACGGTCTGGTAGGAGATTCTGCGCAGTCTGGGTATTTGGGATGCGGTTGAGGGGGCTGTGATCCGATCTCAAAGCCTTGTGGTGGTGCTTGGCGCAGCATTGAAAACCCTGGCTACAGCTGATGGGGATTCCCCTGCCTGCAAGCGGCCTGTGACGTTGTATTGTGCACTTCTGTTGTTGGCATGTTGTTGAACTGTCACTGTTCGATTGACGTAGATGCCAGGCAATCCAAAACACTGCACTTGATACCGTTCATAGTGCTGCTGCACGTGCTGTACGTGTAGCTCCATGGTCCTTTTGTTAATGTACTGGGTGCGTTTTTCCGAATCGTACGTGTTTCCCGACTGATGGTTTGCATGTCCCTGTTGTGATCATTTTGATCCGGGACATTTGTCACGGACACTAACACATTAAACCTCTTCATTTTGCACCTCTTGGTCCGCTAATTGTGCTTTTATGGCCAAAAATATCCGTATTGCGTTTCTTGTTTTGAAGAGTATATATATTGTGTTGACCGATGCTCTTGAGGTCAATTTACAGACCGTCGTCATATAGGTGGAATATTGCTGAGTGCGGCGTTAAACAACAAACAAACAAACAAACAAACAGATCAACATTGAAATAATGGTATAGTTATTGACCCAGATTGAACACAACGATGCGGACTCTTTGCATGCTCGGCATGCTCGGTTAGGCGGAAGTCATGATTGGGAGATCCGAGAAGTAAGGAGCGTGTTCATTGTTTGTGTCCGTTTTCCTGGTCACATGGTCCGCGTGGGTTAGGATGGGATGGACCCCACTTGGTATTAGGTCGGCTGTCCCCTACAACGTATCGAATCCAGAGGAATCAGGAGAAGCCAGTTATCAACGTCCGCGTAGATCAGTTAAACCGTTTGAGGGTACTCCATGTCCTAGGAACTAGTTGAATCACCCAGTGGATGATCCCGCTGCTGTGGAAATCCTGGAAGATGACCCCGATGCTGCGGAGCTCCAAGACCTCACACTTGCGGACATGGAGAGATCATATTCAAAGGGGGCAGTTAGAACGCCAGTGGCTGTTGGAACTCGTGCGGGGCGGACTGTGAAACCTGGAATAAGGTTTAGTCCCAGTTAGATGGGTGAGTGAGTGAGTGAGTTGGGTTTAACGCCGCTTTTAACAGTATTCCAGTTATATCGCGGCGTGTCAGCTTAATGTGGGAGGAAAGCCCCAAGTGATGCAGGTCTCAGACGTTTACCACATCGGTGAAACCCACGAGCACGGGTATGGTGCTGACAAACCTAGAAACATAATCGGGGCGAACCGAGATTCGAACCCACAATCATATGTTTCTGACGTGCCCAAGGGACGCAACTCTGCACAGCGAATCGCGGCGCCTCAGACGACTGGGCCACCCGTGCCCCCAAGTTAGATGGGAGGGAGGTGGTGTTGATCAATTCGAAAATAGTTTAACTGTTGTTTGATTGTGTACGGTATTGTTTGTCGTCTTAGGGGCAAACCTTTACCATTATATTTTCGTACAGGAAGAATAGTTCTGCTTATAAAGTTTTGCTTTCAGGTGGCATTCCAAATGCGTGTAAGCGAAGAGGAAATGACTGAATTTATGGAAAAAGAGCGTCCCATCTGGCCTGACGAGGGCATGGTCTGTGCCGTGCCAGGGCGGAACACTCGCTACAAAGTACCGCAGATGGTGGACCAATGGGTCCATGCGCACCGCCCCAAACATAACCTACGTATACGGGAGAGTGTTTCAGAGAAAACCTGATGCGGAGAGGCATGCGAGGTCTCACCCATTGCCGGCCTTTGTCACAATAGTCCAGAGACGGAACCGACGGTTCAAAGACCCGGGAGACTGTCTTCTTCCCCGAAGAGACCCTATTTGAGGGTCTAGAAGAGCAGACCGCGAGCAAGCGGCCCAAACCAGGTCTTCCCAGCCGCGACGGCGCCTGAATCGCGAGGCCCAGGAAGAGAAAGACCAGCAAACTTCCAAGTCTCAAGTGATTGAGAATGTTTCGAATTTTCGCATTATTTCGCATTTTGATGTTATTGTATGGACCTGAATCCTTTTATTTATTTTGTTGTTGTTGTTTACTTTATTATTTTCGATATTCTCTACAGGTTTTTCTATATATCTACACTTGTTGATTTATTTAGATTTGTTATATTTTTTAAGGGGACAAAAAGGGTAACATTTTGACTTAAGGGGGACGGGAATGTGGGCGACTGGGGATTATTGCGGGTAAATGGATATATTTAGGAACTTAGTGGGTGGGTTAGTTTTAGGGGAGTTGAACGGCTGACGTAGTACATATCCTTGCAGTCCTTGTTGGAGCAGCTTATGCCCACGCGGGTGTAGTGGCTGGGAAGACGTGACGCTGCCACGCTCTTTGCATGCTCGGCTTGGCGGGAGCCATGATTGGGAGAGCCGAGATGTAAGGAGCGTGTTTATTGGTTGTGTCCGTTTTCCTGGTCACATGGTCCTCGTGTTGGCTTTATAAGCCTTCCTGGGTAGGGAACCGTCATGGCCTACGCTTGCAGTCAGAAAGCGCACGTAAAATCTCCCGCGCACTTAATCAGGACCATTCATTATTTATTATACGGCTTTAGATGGGATGTTAGATTAGGAAGTATGGGTGGGGGGGAAATAGAGTACAGATTAAATAGGTTTGTTTTGGAGACGTTTTACTTTCTGGAGTTAAGTTAGAGGGTTAGAGGGGTGGTTAAAAGAAGGTTTAAGAAAGAAGGTTGAATTGGGTTACGTGGGTATGGGGGGGGGGGGGGGGGGTGTAGGGTACAATCAAGTGGGGGAAGATTTTACCCCGTTTTTGTTTGTTTTCAAGTTAAATAAACTTTAAATCAAACTTTACTCTTTGTGTTTTATCTATGATTAGAATTGCATTGGTAACCCGGTCAGGAGCCTCCTAGAACATAAAGACATCAGGATACAGCACAGGGAGAAGAGAACACAACGCCAAGTACCACGTTTTGTATTTATCATGTATCCAATATTGTTTTCTTTGTATATATTGGTAAAGGGGGATAATTGCTATGTATTGTTCTATAATTGTTTTGTATGTGCAAAATAGTATTAGCAAGACTTAGTTACAACAAAACTGATATAGTGGCGTGTAACATTACTGGAATGTTTAATAAATACTCCTCACTGTTGGCGGGAGTCCTTACTCTCCTTGCAATGATATTGACGGGTAAGCGATTGAGGCGTCTGGTACTTTTCCTGGCACGGTGCTTGGTATGCGAGCAGTCAAATGCGCAGAGAGGATTAGGTGTCGGGGGTGATTGCATTGGCGGTGTCTTCTGTATTGAAAGTGTTGAAATCGATTTGTGCCGAGCTTGGATTCGTTTGTACGGGAGGCCGCGATGCAATTTGTAACATGCTCTCGTGCACATAGCAGATTAGCCAACAGAGTGGATTGCACAGAGGATGAAAACTATTTTGTCATTAGTTAAAAGTGTTGAATTTGGTTTGTTCTGAGCTGTCGGTTTAATTGAAGGGTATACATTGTTATTATGTGAAATCTCGGCGGAAACGGGGAAAATCGCGTTTTTTTTAAAACGGTAGTCCTTGACAAAATCATCTTCAAAATACAATCAAAGACTTCTTTTTTTTAAAAAACATAACACGGGGATATATGTTGTATTAATGTCTTATGTTTTAGAAAAGGTAATATTCAACAGTGAGATATTCTGGCTATTGGCAAAGAATCCAGTCCCAATGAAATATAACAGCATGCCGATGTTATACAAAGCAATCGTATAATATATCGCAACTGATAGTTTTTAACAATCAGGCCATCAACATAATGACGGTATCAGTGGGCACATCGTGGTATTTGAAGATGAAAAATGATAAAACATCGTATTACACGGAGGCTCGTTTCGTATTGTATTACACGCCTCTTTAATGCAAACCCGATTATCGCAGAGAATTTCATGCTTGTTTTTCTGCGTGTGGTACATTTATTTAATGTTTATTAAATTAGATATTAATTTATCGTCCCACCAGAATTAAAAAATTATACTTGTCAGCAGTCTAGGAGGTTATACACGGCATCTTGAAAATGAACAAAAAGAAGATTAAGAGTAGTTTATTAAAGTGTCACTATGTACACAACCAACCATTTTGGCTTACGAGACAAAATACACATTCACTCACCCATAGAAGTACCACGAACACACACTTCCGCAAATTCAGTCACTAACCCACGCACATATATTACGTTACACACCACACCACACAACACAACACACCACTACAAAATTCCATACTCGGTATTGACCCATGACAGATCCTTCTTCATGTCAGGGAATGGGGTTTTGGATGGTGGTCCACGGACACGTCTTGCCTTAGGGAATTCGAAGGCTGCTGTACTGTCCAGCTTCTTCATGTATGTCTCATCTGCGAGCCTCTTCGCCATCTGCAGTTCCGTCGACTCGCAGTTCTTTGGCCGTACTGTAAAAATCTTTATGCCGTCTTCGCCATAGTTACTTTCCTCGGAGGACATCAACTGAGGTATCTTTAATGCGTCCTCGAACCTCCGTTTCTTCTGGACGGGAATGTCGCAATGGCGTATCCCGAGGACTCGGTTACGACTCTTCTGAAGAAAAACAACAAATTTATTTACATTTGCATTTCAAATTTATAATTTATATGCATGTATATCAATGTATATGCTCATGAGCAAAGGAGGAAAATATGTGAAAATCAAATTCAAATTTATTCCGATAACCCTTAAGCAACGTGTCAGTATTATAGCATGATTAGTGTATTAGAACAACACTATTTGTGAACGGCAGGTGCTACCGGTAGTGTTGGGTATGCTTACCCTTTTTGAAGATTCACTCTTTGTAATTCGACATCAAACGGATTACATCACACTCTAAGTAAACAATCTCATTTAACCCTTAATTAGTTAATTAGTCTAGTTAACCTACAGATGCCTTAACGAGGATTAATCCCTTGTCAGTTGTTGGTGAGTGATCAATTAATGTCTGGAGAAAGGGATTAGCCTTAATCACAATACATTAACATTCCACACTGGAATACAAGAGATTATCCATCATTATGCCTTTATAAGAAAGTGAGAAAGATAAAGATTGAATGATACATAACGGGCCGTGCCTGTATTATATAGACTGCCAAGAATGAAATGCATCACACATGACATATTGTCTTTCGGTAGAAAAAAATCATGTCTATTGAAATAACATCAGAACAGAACAATAAACCTTTATGTATGTTATAGTTATCCAACATCTTTTATTATGTCAGGAGCAGTGTCGGATGCTATATAGTCCACTGTAATTCATCATTAAACGTTAACTTACTGAAGTTTTTCTTGACCACTTCTCTGCCGGGAAACCTCTTTTTCGTTTTGAGAGATCTCGCCATAACCACTACAACAAACAATATACAATGTATTAGCAGTAACGCACGTCTTAAAAACATAGTACTTTTACTGAAAATATGACATTTGAACAACAAAACATAAGTTTCCTTTATATTGCGTTCTTACCTCTTCGTACAGAATGTATATCATATTATAAATGAAAAATCGTCACCAAACACGCCCACCATATGCACATGAACGTCACGGTTTGTTGCGTACTTTCACATGACTTCCAAGGCGCAACTCAATATCTATTGATAGATTGTGACAACAGGATGAAGGAGTTGTCATTTATTCAGAAATCAGTAGACAATGCATATCAAACACTGTTACAGAGGACCAAGCAAGATGGGTGGTCGCATATAAGGTGTGGTACCTGATAACTGTGTACGTAAAGTTACTAACCAATAATAGTTCAGTACTTATCTCTGGGAACACATCTTTCAAATATGATAGGTAGGTGGAACAGGTGTGTATATGACCAAACTGTTACTATCTATGAGTGTATACACAAAATGTCACCTTGAAAATCAGCATGTGGAATAGCAGGGAGTGCTGCCTTCGAGAAGTTCCAAAAATACTCAATGAGTTCCTTGTTCCGCTCTGATTCCAACCTTAAACAAACAGTTTCTAAATTAAAACACAGTAAAACCAGCAGTATTTTCACAACGACTCTCAGCCTTTGCCGCTTAAAGCGACGCGACACCTGGGTACGTGCAGCTCGTGAGTTTGCGAGTTTTCACCGAACTCACGTGCTTTTCGGGGAGAAATGGTGCGGGTTGTCATTGTAATTCCTTTTAGAAGAGACCAGCTTGCACATGGTCAGCTATAGGGGAAAAGGAAATAAATGCATTCATTTGTCAAATTATTCATAGTGTGTTTTTATATTTTGGTTTAACGTAAAGATTGTTCTTGACACCGAGTCTATTACTTAACGACAAGTGGGTGTTCCTGATGTTAAGACGCCTTTGAATTCCAGCGTTTTGACAACCAATCTCTCTACAATAATGGGGGACACGGGTGGCCCAATCGTCTAAGGCGCCCCGATTCTCTGTGCAGAATTGCGGCCCTTGGGCACGCCAGAAACCTATGATTGTGGGTTCGAATCCCGGTTCGCCCCGATTATGTTTCTACGTTTCTCAGCACCATACCCGTGCTCGTGGGTTTCACCGAAGTGGTAAACGTCTGAGACCTGCATCAGTTCGGGCTTTCCACCCACATCAAGCTAACACGCCGTGATATAACTGGAATACTGTTAAAAGCGCCGTTAAACCCAACTCACTCACTCACTCTACAATAATGAGAGGGAGACACTTTGGGTGGCAAATAGTTGATTGTTATGGAGACGGGCGGGATTCTTACTGAAAGAATAATCAATCTCCTATTCATGAAAAACTAACATTAACAACGTAAAAAGACTTTATATACCTTACACTCATCTTGTTGTCTTATGACCACGAGCTTGACACTCACCAAGTGGGGCATGTCATGTGGTCTTGGCGCCGAAACTGAAATAGGACTGTTATAAAGTGATAGCTGTTTTTGTGGCCTCCATGGTCAGTAGGAAGATATTTTACATGGGCTTCAATTACTAATTCATGCTATTCATTGTTTTAGTATTTACCCATTCTAAATCCATTTTTTATTTAATTCCACTTTTCTTTTTAGAAATCCAATATGTCAGCCACCATGTAAAACACATGTGTTGATCCTGATTGTAGTGAACCAGATTTGAGCCATATAAATTGACTTTGTGAACCTGAAAGACTTGTTTTCAACTGTAAGTGACAGTCATTAAAACTTTCCAAAGAATCACTTCCAGCGTGCAAGGGTGGATAATAAATTCGCTGTTTTCAAATCCTCTGGCCGCAAATACTGATTAATTAGTAGAATTCACTTGGCTTTTTCTCGGTGATTCAGTTCTGTGGTGTAATTAAAAATACATTAATAATTGACACTTGTGAAAAGGCGTATCTTTAGACAATATTTGAAAGCAAACAGAAGGTGAAGTCTTGAGACCCAGTGACGGTTTGTTTCAAAGATGGCTCGATTGTTTGTTTGTTGTTTAACGCCGCACTCGGCAATATTCCAGCTTATGTCGGTGGTCTGTATATACTCGAATGTGGACCAGACAATCGAATGATTTATATCATTAGCATCGATCCACGCAGTTGGAATACGGACAGACAGACAGACAATTGTTTATTTACGTCTCACCCCTGTACAACATACAACATACATATATACATAGAACATAGATAAAAGTACAGAACCACTCAATATGAGTTATGAGAGACGAGGTCACATAAAAATAAATACAAGTAGAATTTGTAAGGGTAAAATATATCACGAAGGTAAATCTAAGCATTATATAAAATATTCTTGCATTTTTCAAGTAAAAGTTTGCAGGTTTTGGCCGTTAGAAACAACAAATCATCATTGGACATAATAAAAGAGAACTTATCAACATCAGCTAAAACTTGAAAAGTATCACAGAGATTCGCACATGTAGTTAAAAGGCTATCAGTAATGTTTTTATATAAAGGACAATGAAATAAAACATGGCTTTCATCCTCCACGCATTCATGACAGTTAAAACACACCCGTTCATTCAATGGTATATTATTGTAGCGACCTGTCTCGGCACGGAGCGGGGCAACACCACAGCGGAATAGAGCTATAGCACGGCGTTGTGACCGGGGTAGGGGAACATACGATGACATGCATCAACCAAGTCAGCGAGCATGACCACCCGATAATCGTTAGTCGCCTCTTACGACAAGCATTGTTGGTTGGTTGGTTTGTTGTTTAACGCCGAACGTTAACTCAGCAATATTCCAGCTATATGACGGCGGTCTGTAAATAATCGAGTCTGGACCAGACAATCCAGTGATTAATATCATGAGCATGGATCCACGCAATTGGGATCGATGACATGCATCAAGCAAGTCAGCAAGCCTGAACTCCCGATCCCGTTATTCACCTTTTACGACAAGCATAGTCACCGTTTACGGCAAGCATGGGGTGCTGAAGACCAATTCTACCCCGGAATCTTCACGGGGCCACAAGCATAGTCGACTCTTACGGCAAGCATGGGTTACTGATCGAAGACCTATTCTAAACCGGAACGAGTCTGTTCAAAAGTAGTGCTGCAGAGTAAAAAGATGTGTGTACAAGCGATTTTTGGAATCTTGGTACTGTTAGCAGCTCGTGACATCAATGTGTTTTTATCAGCTAGTACTAAATCCAACAACCACAGAACTCATAGTGTCACTGTAGGAACATGCTGAAAACACCAGTACACCAGGGCGATTCTTGAGAAAGCTATGGTCGTGAGTTCAAAGCGGCGTTAAACCCAACTCACTCACTACCAGTTAGAAACGTAGACAAATAGTAACGTAGACGAAATAACCGAATATGATACATGACTTGCTTGTGCTAACTCAATAATATTCCAGCTACATATCCAAGACCTATAAAATCTCGAGACTGGGACGGACAGAACAGTGATTGATGTCATGAGCAACGTTCAACGTTCATAGTCTGGGTGCTCTGACACGCTATTAACCAAGACACGATCCCATCCATGTAATTGTATCACACGTTAGCATACTGTAGGTTGTTAGCATCCCTGAAACCGCAGTCAGTGTAATGACATTTCAGACACGTTTGCGATGTGTTTTAAGTGTGAAAGTGGCCCGTGAAGATTCCAGGGTAGAATAGGTCTTCAGCAACCCATGCTTGCCGTAAAAGGCGACTATGCTTGTGGAAAAAGGCGACTAACGGGATCGGTTGGTCAGGCTCGCTGACTTGGTTTATGCATGTCATCGTATCCCAATTGCGTGGATCGATGTTCATGATATCAATCACTGGATTGTCTGGTCCAGACTCGATTAATTACAGACCGCCGTCATTTAGCTGGGATATTGCTGAGTACGGCGTAAAACAACAAACCAAACCAAACCAAAGTGTGAGAGTATGCAAGAAATGAGTCAATAACGTGAATCCATGTGAACACAACGTGTATTGACTGACCTCCTCTACCAGGAAGCATTTCCAACACGTCAGTGAAAATGTCCTTATTTTTAGTGAAGCCTTGTAAGTTAGGAACTCGTTACCCCGGTAGACCACACTTCGGACGGTTGATGGTGACGCTTGTTCAAAGTGACGTTATCCACAACTACTAAGACATATGTATACAGGATATCAACCCTATATATAACGTGTGGAGCGAGCACTGTACGAGTTGCCCGCCCATCTGAGCCTGGGCGATACAAATTCACGTCTTTTCCCAAGATGATTATCGTCACTTACAACATGCGGTTGAAAATAGATTAATCGATATGGACTGCCAATACGTTTATACATACAAACGTAACACAACGTAGGAATATGCATTCCATATCTTAAGGTTTCATTGCGGCCCACAGGATGGAGGGGTAGCCTAGTGGTTAAAGCGTTCGCTCGTCACGCCAAAGACCCGGGTTTGATTCCCCTACAATGTGTGAAGCCCATTTCTGGTGTCCCCCACGGTGATTGTGCTGATATATTGCTAAACGCGGCGTAAAACCACACTCAATTAATCATTGCGGCCCGCAACACATTTGTACTCGCGAAAGTCGACGAGAGTTTGATTTTGGGTCTAGTTAACATCGCAATCACCTTACAACTTCACGGGGGAGAGAATCCCGCAGCGACCCGGGGCATGGATCTGTTCAACTTTGGTGAATCCCATGACGATCGGAATCGTGCCTTTAGAACGAGGATCATGATGAGCCCACGATCATCGGAACACAACATGTAGGGATCATGATCATAAGCCACCTGTGACCATCACTCACATGACAGTTGTCTTGTTGATATAAATGAGTGAGTGAGTATGGTTTTACGCCGCTTTTAGCAATATTCCAGCAATATCACGGCGGGGGACACCAGAAATGGGCTTCACACATTGTACCCATGTCGGGAATCGAACCCGGGTCTTCAGCGTGACGAGCGAACGCTTTAACCACTAGGCTACCCGACCGCCCCTTGATATAAATGAAGCTGGACGCGTATGTGTAGAGAAGAGGTGTTTATTTTAACATGATTATTATTTACAAAATTCAGACTAACGTTCCAAGCACACTTGATTGTCTTTGTCACCGACTTCAGTGAGCACGGTGTTTTGTTTGTTGTTTTGTTGTTTAACTTCCAACTATAAGATCGCGGCCTGTTGGACTCTGGTCAAAACAATCCAGTGATTGACATCATGAGCATCGATCTACGCACTAGGGATGACATGCATCAACCAAGTAAGCGAGCCTGACCACCCGATTCCGATAGTCGCATGGGTTGCTGAAGACAAATTCTAACTACGACCTTCACGCGATTTTTTTCATAAACAACATCCCCCCCCCCCCCCCCTCCCTCCCATTATAGTTGTGGCGGCTATCATTTTCGCCGTGTCATGTCAGAGGCGCACATGTCCGCCCCTTGCTAAGTAAAAATAAATGACACTTGTTACGTGAAAGGGACGAATTCATGAATAAATGAGTGAATAAATCAAATAAATACAACAAGGAATCTGTGTTGCCTTTTCCCCATTTTGACTAGTCCATCAACTTCACCAAGGGGTGACAGGTAGTAAATAGTAGTCACTGAGCAATGAAGTATGTGTATTGAAACAAGTAGTCATAATGGGAACACACCGACCCATCCACCCCACTCCATGTAATTAATGATCAGGTACCTGTTCCACAAAGCGATCTTAGCGCTAAGATGATCGTAACTCACACACTTTAACACTGGCTTACGATAATCATAACACTAAGATCGCTTTGTGGAACGTGTCCCTGTCCCTTTACAGTAATCAGTCATCAGACAACTGCGTATGCCACCTAACATTTTCCTCGTCAATAAATAATAGTGTGTGATAATGTCAATTGTTGTCATTTGTGTGTCAAGCACATGGTCACGCACAATGTCAAGCACTTTAAGTTATGTAAATATAAAATGTCAACGCTGGAGGACAATCAGTCTCGACAATACGACAAGACAGACTCAATTGGCAGCAAAAGGCAAGCGGTGTAAACTATATGATCATCAGACTGCGATATGCACATACCATTACATTTTGTGAAAATCCGGGTTCAAATACATGTAGATCTTCAGCGACACATGCTTGTCGTTAGAGGTGACTAACGGGATCGGGTGGTCAGGCTCGCTGCCTTGGTTGATGCCTGTCATCGTATTCCAATTGTGTGGTTCGATGATAATGAGGTCAATCACTGGATTGTCTGGTCCAGACGCGATTATTTACAGACCGCCGCCATATACATTGTAGCTGGAATTTTGTCCGGAGTGAAACAGCAAACAAACAAACAACAAGTATGTGGTGTCTGCCCTGTTCATGGTAGATACACACACGTGTCCAGATCTATGATCATATTTCTGTGGTGGGCATTGTGTGGTGGGCAAAATACAATACGTTGAGTTCTGTTTCAGTTTGCTGTCACCTATAAGGAATATACGATAGGGAGGTTATCATTAACATATTCGCAACGCAATACGGGGCGGTAGGGTAGCCTTGTGGTTACAACGTCACTCCGAAGTCCCGGGTTCGATACCCCATATGGGACAATATCTGAAGCCCATTTCCTGTGTCCCCGTCCAGGATTTTACTCACTCACTCACTCACGCACCCACTCACTCACTCACTCAACGAAATATTAATTATGATGCGAGTTTTTGTTACTTGCGGTCGCACTTTGACCCATTTCCGATTTCACTATACAAAGGCAAGTGTTCCTGAAATACACCCGGGTCTCTGTAATGGCTGTGATTAGTTGATGGTGGTTTATGGTTACTCTTCTCCTTCACCACGTTCTTCTTCTGTTCTTTCATTAGTTTCTCTTTTTGCATGGCAAACTCAACGTGTTGGTAATACAGAGAGAAATTGTTAACAAGGGCAGGTATCGTAAACCCAATGAGCAGAACACCACAAACTGCCGTGATCGACCCAACCAGATACCCTAATCTACTCGTTGGGTACATATCCCCATACCCCACAGTTGTCATGGTAACAACCGCCCACCAAAATCCGTGCGGGATACTTGTGAAAACCTTGTTATCATCCGCAAAGAAAATTAAAGATGAAAACAGCAGCATCCCAACCAATAGGAACACCAGCATCAGCGACAGGTCCTTGTAGCTCGCCTTCAGCGTGTAAAACATGATCCATAACCCAGGAACGTGACGAATCAAGCGGAAGATTCGGAATGCGCGCATGAGCCGTAGAAGAGGCATGAAGTGCATAAAAGTCGTTTCTTCAACAGCTTCCGGGTTAGCCGCATATACAAGGAACTCAATATAGTCTGGAAGTATGGCAAGAAGATCGATGATGGACAGAGGAGACAACAGAAACTTGAATTTCTTCGGAGCGCAGATGAAACGCAGGACGTATTCTGCTGTGAAGAATGTTAGACACACGATGTCAATGTAGAATAGAACAGGATGTCGCTCCGTGTCCTCTTCGAAGCTTTCCATGTCAGTCGTCTTATTTTCTGTTGCGTTTCTGGAAGTGGCATTGGCGCCTCTGCGCATGGACGGAACTTTGAAGATGGGATGAGTGGCAGCGCAGAAAGAAAAGATGGCGACCATGACGAAGAGGAGAGACAGCCATCCATAGATCTGAAACATGTAGAAATATAATGGTTGTTTATTTACCTCACAATAATAATATAACATAATGTTCATAGGATATCCTGGATATTTTGAAGCGATGACTGATATTCATGTTGTGCCTCATACCAAAATTCCACCTCACCTCGGAATCCTTTAATCTTTAGTACAAGTACGCCAACCCGTGAAGATCCGGATTAGAATTGGTCTTCAGCAACCCAGGTTTGTCGGAAGAGGCAAATAACGGGATCGGGTGGTCAGGCTCGCTGACGTGATTGATGCATGTCAAATATTTCAATTGCGTGGGTCGATGCTCATGATGTCAATCACTAGATTGTCTGGTCAAGACTCGATTATTTACAGACCGCCGTCATATAGCTGGAATATTGCTGAGTGCGGCGTTAAACAACAAACAAACAAATAAAGAGGGTCGGTGACCTGCCTGTGAGAAAGCAAGAAGTACGTTTTGGATTGTTAGAACGGAAACCCATTAGGACCAAGCAATTTTTTATTTTCTTAAAAAGTTGTTTTTTAAAATTCAAGTTATACTATAAGTCAGTGTTCCGATTCAAACAATTCTTTAACAAACAATCAAACAAATGTTTCGCCCACTCTGCTGGCCAACTGGCCCACGATATGGGGGAAGATGGCCGATAAAGGAAGGACATGGACCAGAAACGTTGTCTGCAGTTTGCAAACAGTCTTTTCAAAACATTTGTTATCTGTTTCAATTGTCATGGCTGAAAGCAGTCTTGACCCAAGCCTTGTATGCGCGATGTAACGTGATACATAAAACCGTTATTGAAACCGCAATTTAAACAGTTCGGGTTGGTGCAGAACGATCATCACCATGCAATGGCGATGAAAAGCGTATCAGTACTGTTAATTTCCTTTTTACGAAACGCCAATTTCCCGGTAGTGTAGAAAGTGTAGAAAGAGAACACGGCCGTTCAGTCTGGAATATTTGTGAAACGTAACCTCCTAATGGTATTGTAAATAAAATAATTTGTTCTGCTGTTTTACAAAAACATGCTGTTTGGTTCCTCTTAAATGGTGTTTTGAAGCCCTGACTCAAAATACTATTTTGTATCAAACAAAAAACAGTCCCAGGCAGTTACTTCCCCCCCACCCCAGCCTCTCCCTCGGAGTATTGAATGGTTGCTCCCCAAGATGGCCTTACTGTACCCCCTACCTCATGACCAAAGTTCAACATTCAAGTTCATATCTGACACTTGTAACGACATTTTTTGAATACCTGGACATCGTCAAACGCTCCTGCCCTGAAGAGTATACGTCATGGTAAGGTCCTTTAATCGTAACGCCGTGATATAACTGGAATACTGCTGTAAGCAGCGATAAACCAACTCACTCACACTCACCATAGCTCGAAACAGCACCACGGTAAATCCGACAGTACATGTCATATATATTTAGATAGGATAGAGTATATATGCATGCGAAGGTAAATGTTTACCAGTATGTTAATGTTGAAAGGAAAATATATTTGGCATAGCAAAGAAGCATATGCTGTTTTTTTTCGAAATCCGACTCGCAAAGCGTGATGAAGCAGTGCCCACAGTGACCTGAATAGTGCTATCTAAACATCTACGTCCCTATAGTTCCGCTATCTGTTTCACACAGGGAAACACGCCAGGCAGCTTCAGGTTGACGCAGTAACTGTGTGTCATCCTCTGTTCTATTCTGCATTCTTTTGATCTTACTGGTTAGGGGCCAATTGTCTGTGACTGTTGGGAGTATTTTTGTCTCAGGTTTAACCTACAAAACAGATTGTTCGCTGAACAGGATCGATGTCCTGAAAAAAATGTGCTTCGGGAAAAATATGTTCGGCTTCTATTTCTTAAAAACATAATTGTTTGTTCTGAAGCAGTGACGGTAAAATAACCTCTCTGTCCTCATTCTCTATGCAGTGTATTCGTTCTCTATCTCGTCTTCAAGTCAGGGCCTATCTATCTATCTATCTATCTATCTATTTTCTCTGTCATGCAGTCTGTCTTGTTCTGCTATAGTTGGAGTATGGGGTGGCTTAGTCGTCTAAGGGGCCCCAATTAGCTCTGCAGTCTTTCGTTCGTTAGGTGCGACTGAATCTATTATCCTGGGTTCGAATCCTGGTTCGCCCTGGTCATATATTTTCGTTTGTCAGGACATACCTTCCTCATGCGTTTCACTAAAGAAGTAACCGTATGACACATTCATCGCTGTGGGCTTTCCTCCCAAATCAAGCTGTCACGATTTAATATAACTAAAATGCTGACTGTTCTTTAAAACAAAATCCCCACTCACTCACACTGTTGAAATTCCAAATACAAATGCTCTACCTAGTTACAACAACGCACCCGTTCACTCTTATCCCACGTTAAAATCCCCCTAGCATCCCTTTGTCGGTCTGCACCCGTGAAGATCCGGGTTAGTATAGGTCTTCAGCGACCCATGCTTGTCGAAGGAGGCGACTAACGGGATTGGGTGGTCAGGCTAGCTGACTTCATTGATGCATGTCATCGTATCCCGATTACATGGATCGACGCTCGTGATATCAATCACTGGATTGTCTGGTCTAGACTCGATTATTTACAGACCGCTGTCATAAAGCTGGATATTGCTGAGTGCGGCGTTAAACAACAAACAAACCTTGTCAGTGTGAGAGATTACAACGATCATAAACATGCATAAATATAGGCATGCGTCACCCAGCAAGCAACACGTGATTTCAGTATCAACAATATGTCGTTTATTGAGGAAATCATTCAAACACTTGACCGTCCTTATCTCTAGATTGTTTACAAAGATTAAAGACGGGGCCATATCCTGTGATAAAAAGTGTCCACTTTGCTACATCCTTGTTTATACTTAGACTTAAGGTTGGTAGGAAAGGGATGAGAGGGGTAGGGGTTCGCTTTTCACGTTGAAGACTGGTGTAATTGTACCCAGAGTAGGAACCATTATCCCACAGACAATTGTTCTTCCGGTAACTAATGTCCATGGACAATTGTTCTCCCTGTAACTACTGTCCTAGGACAATTGTTCTCCCTGTAACTAATGTGAAATGACACTTTGTCCCAGTAACTAATGTGAAATGACACTTTTTCCCAGTAACTAATGTGAAATGACAATTGTTCTCCCTGTAACTACTGTCTAAGGACAATTGTTCTCCCTGTAACTACTGTCTAAGGACAATTGTTCTCCCGGTAACTAATGTCCATGGACAATTGTTCTCCCTGTAACTACTGTCCTAGGACAATTGTTCTCCCTGTAACTAATGTGAAATGACACTTTTTCCCAGTAACTAATGTGAAATGACACTTTTTCCCAGTAACTAATGTGAAATGACAATTGTTCTCCCTGTAACTACTGTCTAAGGACAATTGTTCTCCCTGTAACTACTGTCTAAGGACAATTGTTCTCCCGGTAACTAATGTCCAAGGACAATTGTTCTCCCTGTAACTAATGTCCAAGGACAATTGTTCTCCCTGTAACTACTGTCCAAGGACTATTGTTCTCCCGGTAACTACTGCCCTAGGACAATTGTTCTCCCGGTAACTAATGTCCAAGGACAATTGTCCTCCCTCTAACTACTGTCCAAGGGCAATGTTTCCTTGTCTACAGCTTCCTAACATGTACGAGTACATTGATTCCTGATAGTGTGCGACTTGGACTAAGATAATACAAACACACATTGTGTACAAGCACACTGACTCTGACAGGACATCAATTCCTTTCCTCGGGATCAATTCCTATTACATAGGATCAATTCCTATTACATAGGATTTGAGGTATTCAAAACACAACACGTTCATAATTCCACACGTCAAGATGACGCGGGCATTTATCAACTGGGTATGACAGACCACAGGCAGCTTCCCATGGCCACGTCAAATAGAAAAACAGCAGGTCTGAAATATCTGTTTCCCAGTTGAAATTATTATGGGAAATAGGTCTTTATCGTAACATGTGAATTCCTGTGCGTGTTGAAATTACCCTGCTTTTGTTATACTTCAGGCTGTTTAGATATATTTTGTATGGTTTGTTACATACTGATATTTGCCTTACTGTTTTGATGTGCATGTTTTAATGAATATATAATTTGCTCTCGTCGCTGCAAGGTAAAGATAGTTCACTCACTCAGTTCCAAATTAGGATTATATGCAGAATGAGCTTGCGGTGTTTGTGGGGTTTTGCGGGAGCACAATACTCTTATTCATAAACGTTTAACTTGAAATCTTGTACATCAAGACTAATGACACGACCAGATTTTATCATAATAACACACTTCTTAAGTTAACAAATTTTTCATTTTTGTCATTATACAAAGTATATCTCAAGGACAGAGAGTGATATATCTATTCCGGGACAGGGATGGCTCAGATGACGTCACATGACACCTTGTGACGTCATCGTGGCAATAACGATAACCCATCTCTGTCCCGTTTCACAAACGATCTAAGCGCTATCTGAAACAATCTACCCCACATAGACTTCAAATCTAAGCGAGTGAGTATGGTTTTACGACGCTTTTAGCAATACTCCAGCAGTATCACGGGTGGGAATACCAGAAATGGGCTCCACACATTGTACCCATGTGGGGAATCGAAACCGGCCTTCGGCGTGACGGGCGAACGCTTTAACCACTAGGCTAACCCATTGCCCCTCTCTTTGTGGGATGAGACCCTGACTTGTATGGTTATCTACAAAACGGAGACTGACTGAAGAAAGCTAGATGTCATACAGAGACAGGATATCATTTTAGACAAAACCTTGTTTAATTTAAATCACAAACACCATTTCCGCATTGATTAATTCATATATGCAGTTTATGACTTTATAATTTGATATACCAGGAAAATACCAGGGTTTGTCCTAGAATCCCCTTGTTTTCCACAAAGGATATATATCTCACGTACTATTCGTCCATAGTAAGTGGTTTTACGGAGGCCAATTTCGCAATTACTTCATGTAGCTTAAGTACGTATACATAAATTTGTTCTTTGGTGAAATGTTTTACCAGCCCGCGGCAAATGAACGCAGCGTAACAGACAACCTGTCACAAAATCCCCTTAAAAACCTGAACAGTAAAACGTTGTCTGGCAATACAGCACATTCCTCACGTGTTTTCCACGACATGGTTTATTTCACACAGGGCATATAGGGTATATTCATCCTCCGTTGCTATATAATCTGTTTATCTCCTAACGTGATCTGGTGGATAGTGCGTCAGCCTGGAGAGTGTAAGGTCGGTGGTTCGATCCACGGCGGCGCCATACCAAAACAGATGGTATTTGTTGTTTCCCTGCCTGGCGGGCGGCCTTAAGTAGATAAAACAAGGACTGGTCTGCTCGGAGTCAGTATACTGTGTCCATGATATACGTTAGTCCGGAGTAGAACCACACACAAGAGAATACTGTATCCATAAGACATACTACTGACTACTGACATACTACAGAAAATTAGAGGTGATAATCCAAACCCCTCACTAATTACCCTGCTAATCCCTAATCCACAATCCACAATGTGATGACATCGATTTCATCTCGCTAATGAGATGTTGTTGGGGTAATGAGGTGGAGAACAGATGAAACAACATATTTAATGTTTATTTAGGATTTTATTAATGCAAAGATGATAAACCTCATGACTGTTATTTTAGTTATTATTTGTGTTTCACATCAGTGTATACGTACGTATGTGTAACAATACATAAATAACGTGAAGTAGATTATTCAGTAGTGGCAGGCAAGTCGTAGTTAGTTAACTAGAAAACCTGTTAAGTAGAATCTTCGTCCAAGTCTCTTCATTTTCTACTTTTCCGAGTTTCACTTTGTTTAAATTATATTCGAAACAACCCGATACGTTGCGTTTATTTGTTTGACCAGTATATAGCCCCGAGTTGTATTTCTAATGACTCTTCAGCTATAGTATGTGTTTATGTTATAAGGATTGTAAAGTTTGTGTTGTCATTATCGTATAAGAAATATAAGATACTTTAGAGGTCTAATCTGTTCACGATAATCTTAATCCGAACTGTATGATTCAAGATAATTACTACCCCGTAATTGGGGATTACGGATTATAGATTAGTCCCGACGAATTGATGTTTGTTGTACGAGGAGAGTATGGGTGAGTGAGTATGGTTTTTTACGCCGCTTTTAGCAATATTCCAGCAAAATCACGGCGAGGGACACCAGAAATGGGCTCCACATATCGGGAATCGAAGCCGTGTCTTCGGCGTGACGAGCGAACGCTTTAACCTCAGGCTTCCCGACCGCCCCCGTACGAGGAGAAGATTTACATGTAGATTTACATATGGCGGCGTGGGACGTCGCTTATGATATGAACGACTTTCCATTTCTCTAAGTGCACGTTGATTATAATTTTACAATCAAAACCAAATAACTCACCTGGGCGGGAATAGAAGAATTGTGACTTGTGAGAAAGATCCACGCGTTGACCTTGACCTTGCTATACCATGGCGCTGAGTCGTCAAGGACATGTTGCACGTTCTGTTTCCTGTCTTTCTCCAGTTGTTCCAAAGCGTTGACCGTTGTCGTCCAGTTGTTGTAAACAGCCCAGCAACAAGGCTCGATGTCTATCTCACTCAACCCCCAAAACTCCATTTCTTCCTTTATCATGGGACCACAGAGCGTTGCTGGAAGATGGAGTTTGCCCGATCTCACGTAGTTCAACACTGACCGAAACATCTCTGGGTCCTTATCAAAGAAATACTCACACCCATCCGTGTCGTAGTGAATGTCAAGAAACAGTTCATCCGATAACCTGGTACTCTCGCATCCGTTGAGCGTCTCACGAAGAGTTTGAAATTTTGTGCCGCCAACGTTAAAAATCATTTTTCTACATTTCGGCACACAAACCTCCGATGATGAATCTTCAAACATGTCGTCATGGTGCACCCTTTCATTGTGGACATGTGGCTCTGCCATTATTGTGGAGAAAGGTCTCGCGGTGTCTTAACGTGACGAGGCGGGATATAACTTAAGTAAACACGGCAGTTGCTCGCAGCGACGCCAGGTGGCGGAAACAAGGACGCGGTGATAGCTCGGACAGTTTCCGCTTGGGTAAACCAGCCCTCCCTCTCATTGTCGGGCTCTGTCAGAGTGTGACCCGCATCGTCATTTAAACAGTATCGGGGCACGTTAAACAAGGCTAGGGTTTGACTCTCTGTACTCAAGTTCGCCTGTAAGATAACACTATGAAACTGCCACAGTTGACTGTATTGCGTACTGCGACATAACCATAATTCTTTTTACGTCTCTGGATACTCAAGTTCGCCTGTAAGATAACACTATAAAACTGACAGAGAGAACTTTCTGCGTTTGGTTACACAACAAAACCCTTCTTTTTAGGTTAAAATTCAACAGTGTGGTGAACAAATCTGTATACGATTAAGAGACTGCTAAGTTAACTGTGATATATTTGTGAAAACAACTGTATCTCGATCTGGTAAACTGCTATCCACACTTGTATTTGTGAGGACAAAGTTTCAGAATTCCACTGACAATGATCATAAGGATATAACGCCCAATAGTCACAAGGATACAGCGCCAAGTGTTGTGTAATTTATAAGCGACGGACATGATGACTGAATAGAGAAAATAACTTCCTGTATCATTTTCGTATCTTCAAATATGAGTTGGAGGTACGCCACTCAGGGTTATCCCGCACACGTACGAGTTGGACTTTCTTCCTTTTTTGTTCTTAATGAGGTGGGGTAGCCTAGTGGTTAAAGCGTTCGCTCGTCATGTCGAAGACCCGGGATCGATTCCCGACATGGGTACAATGTGTGAAGCCCATTTCTGGTGTTTCCAGCCGTGATGTTGCTGGAATATTGCTAAAAGCGACATAAAACCTTACTCCTTCACGCATCATTCTTACTTCATGATTCTCGGACTTACTTCCCTCACTATCTTTTGTTTGTTTGTTTGTGTGTTGTTTAACGCCGCCCTCAGCATTATTCCAGCTATATGACGGCGGTCTGTAAATAATGGAGTCAGGACCAGACGATCCAGTGATTGACATGGGCCATTGGGATCGATGACATGCACCAACCTCGTTAGCTGCGAGTCTGACCACCCGATCCCGTTAGTCACCTCTTACGACAAGCATAGTCCCCTTTTACGGCAAGCATGGGTTGCTGAAGACCTATTCTACCCCGGATCTTCACGGGTTCCTCATTGTCATCTACACTTACGAATTGCACGCATTTCGCTCATTTTCACCAACACTTACGTCATACACGTTTTTCACCATTCTTATCTCATTTTTCTCCTCTACTCTTATGAATCGGACGTATTTCCCTCAATATAACCTACACTTACGTCATACACGTTTTTCACCATTCTTATCTCATTTTTCTCCTCTACTCTTATGAATCGGACGTATTTCCCTCATTATAACCTACACTTACGTCATGGACGTTTTTCACCATTCTTATCTCATTTTTCTCCTCTACTCTTATGAATCGGACGTATTTCCCTCATTATAACCTACACTTACGTCATGGACGTTTTTCACCGTTCTTATCTCATTTATCTCCTCTACTCTTATGAATCGGACGTATTTCGCTCATTATCACCTACACTTACGTCATTGACGTTTTTCACCATCCTTATCTCATTTTTCTCCTCTACTCTTATGAATCGGACGTTTATCCCTCATTATCACCTACACTTACGAGTTGCACGCACTTCCTCTAATATTCATATCTAATCTTCCTCCTTTACACTTCCGAGTCGGACCTACTTCCCCTTTGATTGTCCTCTACTCGTACGACTTGGTGTTCCCTTCTAGGCAGTGGGTTAATACGGAAACTAAAAGTCACGCAAAAGAATGATATACTGATGTCTACAGGATACAATGCAATACACGTCTCCACGGAATGTGGGTGTTGTAAACATTTTTTCGATCAACAGTATTTCTATACAAAAGCGTAGCTGAGTATCATGTTGCGCCACGGTAATCCGGGCGCACCAAGATGCACACAATTCAGACCCATTTCAGGAATCGAACCCGGCGGCGTGACGAGCGAGGGCATTAACAACCGGGGTACTCCACCACTCCTTTCATCACCTGCCCATATCACCTAACCAAGATCAGAAATATTTTGAACATTTTAACAAAATTGACGAATCCACACATTCCGGCAAAATAAGTGCTTGACAGCCAGGGGGCTGTGACAAGGAATGCATCAAGAAGACTCATCCCCTATCGATCAATGTTATGTGCGGAAAAAAGACAAACCAGTCAGAATGCGGACTGAGGTACTTAAAAATAATCAAGTTTGCTTGAATTAATAATGGTTATATTTGATATTATAAAATCGTGAAAAAGTACATGGATAACAAAATTGTGTTGTATGGATTGTAGTTGGTAATTTTGATAGGCCATGCACGGTGACAGATTGAAATCCAAACACGTGCGTTTGTTTACATTGAAATTCAGTAAACGACTCAATTTACAGTGACAATTTATTTTTAATCGAGTTTTATGCTTTCCAAACTTAATATCGATTTTAATGTGTAGTTAGAGGTGATACATTTATTTGAGTAAAACTTTATATAGTATACTACGGGTAACTACCTCAAAGGGACCACTAATTTTAGTTCGTTATAACAGTGTTTGTTATAAGCATTTCGAATATCAGACATCAGTCGTCTAAGGCGCCACGATTCGCTGTGCAGATCTAGAGTTGCATCCTTTGGGCACGCCATAAACCTATGATTGTTGGTTCGAATCCCATTCGCCCCGATAATGTTTCTAGGTTTGTCAGCACAATACCCATGCTTGTGGGTTTCACCGAAGTGGTAAACGTCGGAGACCTGCATCACTTGGGGCTTTCCTCCCACAGTAAGCTGACACGCCGTGATATAACTGGAATACTGTTAAAAGCGGCGTTAAACCCAACTCACTCACACATATTAGAATGTCTTCATTATGCCGGTCATTATGAACTTTAAATTGATGATACTTTATGTTCTCCTTATACACACCCAGGTGTAATTGTCTACCTCTACCAATCTGTCCACATTTGACAACAACAGCTGATTATCTGTTATGATGAAGGTAAATAAATTTGTTCTGTTAATAACTTGCCTTCAAATATTTATTGCCGCTTTGTTTTGACAGGATAATTGGTATTCGCCGTATTCACCGGGGCGGTCGGGTAGCCTACTGGTTAAAGCGTTCGCTCGTCACGCCGAAGACCCGGGTTCGATTCCCCACATGGGTACAATGTTTGAAACCCATTTCTGGTGTTCCCCGCCTTGATATTGTTGGAATATTGCTAAAAGCGGCGTAAAACCATACTATCGCGCTCATAGTACATTTTCACAAGGAGCATGTCAACTAGGTTTAGACAACTAGACACACTTTTGTACAGTAAGTCGTTCACATGACTCTCTTCAGTTTAAGATATATTTATTTAAAAGTCATTCAATGAAATGTTGATTTCAGATGTTGAATCCACACTTACCAATTTTAACCAGATCCAAGTGGTAGAGCGTCCGCCCGGGGAGCGAAAGGTCCATGGTTCGATCCCCTAAAGACGTTAAAAGATGGCACTTGTTCTTACCCTGCCAGGCGCTCGGCATTAAGGGGCTAAAACAAGGACTGGTCGGCTCAGTGTTTGTTTTTGTGGGTTTTTTTGACATTTTTTATTCCTTTCGAAGGGTTGTACATCAGGTTCAGAGGTTACACAGTAGGTTTAGTCAATTGTAGTGAAAAAATACGTTACATGGATGTACATTTCTTGTGATATAAATATAGCATGCATAATTGAAACACACACACACACACACACACACACACACACACACACACACACACACACACACACACACACACACACACACACACACACACACACACACGATATGCCTCAAGAAGAGCATGAAAAGTTGTATCGATAGTCAGATATAACTAAAACAATTATGGTAGTATTGCTATTTGAGGCATAACTGATCTATAGCCTTATTGTACAGGGCATGATTATTATATTAATTTGTGTAGGATTTTTCCCCATTTCCGTTCAAATTGTAATAGACCATTGTTTTTGGTGGCAATGAATTTTTCAATCATCGCTGTCTCTTTTAGTATTTTCCTAAAATTATCAAAAATTGGTTTCTCACCCTTAATACTTGATATATATATATATATATATCTTTTACTGAATATTATAATATGATTAAGTAAAAGTTTATTTTCGTCGAATCCAAAAATAACTGAGTATTTGGTAAGTGAGATCCTAGTATTTGTGTCAAGATTTAAAAAGGTTTCCAGTTTGCTCCAAAAGTGTTTAACATATTCACATTCCCAATATACATGTATAAGGTTTTCGCCATTTAAGTCACAAAAGGAGCAAATATCATTATCAACTAGTTTCATTTTTAATAATTCCTTTTTGGTGTAAATTATTCTATGGATAAACTTAAACTGAAAGTCAATCAATTTAGTATCTTTATTGTCTCTTATCATACAGCCTAAGATTTCCACAGCAAAAAGGAAAAAGATATGGTGATATTGGGTCTCCTTGTCTGCAACCTCTTTCATTAATAAAGAAAGAAGACATATGACCGTTTTGTATTACACAAGAGGATGCATAATTAGTTAGTAGGTGTATCCATTTTATCATATAAGGCCCAAAACCATACTTTTCTAATGCCCTGGAAATAAACTGTCTTGATATTGTGTCAAACGCTTTCTCCAAATCAATCAGCAGCAACATTCCTGGTCTATTGACCTTTTTCACACTTCGCTACTTCCGGTTTGAAAGCGAGGCTTGGAGAGCAGAAGGTGAAGGCTGGATAGCACATGAAACACATGGAGATGTCAACAAGGCATGCAATCGGGACAAACTGTGACAATTTAACCATCCCGGTACATTTATCGTAAGTATTGAACATTATTCTTATTGACAAACTATTCTACTGTTATCTGGTCTCCTTACCGATATAAATTTGAGTCTGGCCGTTCTGTTGTGATTTCAATTTAAAATATCCATGACCACC